AGACCAAGACGTTTCCGAAAGAAGAGAGTTGTTCTCCAAGATGATGAATTTCCAAAAGTATCTGTTAACATGACCGGAAGAGGAAAGTCAACACGACACTTCAGTCCGGATCAGTTCACCGAAGTGTCCCAACGTATGACTCGATTGCGAACAGGGACCAGTAGGCGAAAGAACTACCAAAGAATACAGAAGGGACTTCCTTCAGAAGATGAAACTTCGGAGGTATACTCGGATGCCGGCTCGGATGCTTGCTCGGCGATGGCCTCCGATGACACCGCATCAAGTGCAGGACAGTCTTATGAGTCACTTATGATTAGCACTGAACAGATGGCCAAAATACTTGAGGATGCCCTGACTAAGCAGAAGGAAAACTTCAAGTTCGAAATGGAAATGGCCATGCAGCAGATGAGAGAAATGCATGACCAACAGATTGCGATATTGACAACTCATCAAGGAGAGACTAGCCGTCGTAACAATCCTGACCAAGCTGATAATGATCGAGAAGGGGAGGATAATGTCAACATGAACACCCCTCCCGTCAATAACAATAATGGGGGTGGCCCTTCGGATGATAACAATACGAAAGAGGACCACGTTACCTCTCCCCGAAACCACTCGAAGACAGATACGGGTGAAGACAAGAAGATGAGGGATTTGGAGAGCAAGATCAATGCGTTGATGAATGCTCAGGAAGTGAAAAGGTCTGGAATACCGTGCCCATACCCAAGGGAGTGGGAATCAATCCCGTATCCAGCAAAATTCAATTTGATCAATTTCACGCCATGGCAGTGTTGTCAGAATGTTGATGTTCCAAGACCACCCCGGAGAGAGTTTCAGTATTTGAAAGAATCTCCACCAAAACGTCTGAATCCAGACCAAGACGTTTCCGAAAGAAGAGAGTTGTTCTCCAAGATGATGAATTTCCAAAAGTATTTGTTAACATGACCGGAAGAGGAAGGTCAACGCGACACTTCAGTCCGGATCAGTTCACCGAAGTGTCCCAACGTATGACTTGATTGCGAACAGGGACCAATAGGCGAAAGAACTACCAAAGAATACAGAAGGGACTTCCTTCAGAAGATGAAACTTCAG